ATGAAGGGAGGGGAGGTAAAACAAATTCGGATATGTTCATAGAGGCGGGGTGATCGGCTGGGCGGGCCCGTCCCTGAAGCTGGTGGGCTGGTCAACATGGGTGTATTCATGTTGAAACGTTTAAGTTAAGACTTGCCCCCCAGGCAGGGAAGACACAACTGGTGTGGGACCTGTTCAGTTCTTGTTTTCACGAGAGCAGGGAGAACTCCATGGCTTTCGTTTCGTTTGTCGAAGGGCGTCAGTGTGAGATGTCCTTTCTCCATCTTTCTAGTTCTGATTGACGAGCATCTCCTTTGTGCCGTGTTTCAAGTTGGTTTGGCAGACACTCCGAAAGAAAGAACGGACTTCGGAATGAACGTCCATCAAATAGAATGGCCCAATCCGACACTGCCCCAGATTATGTTTCAGGAATGAATCCAACAAAGTCAAGCCGCAAACCACCGTATTAATACATCATATGTAATACAGTGTTTGACCAGAGATGATGCCACATTTGACGCTTGGTAGTCCATGACCACCATTGACTTTGGCACCATTGGAATTCCTTGGGGCTTACGAGCATCCCTGCATCAACAGCTTCCCGCGGATGCCATTCAGGCAGCTTTCCACTCGGTGACTTTTCCTCCTGCCCACCGCCTGTGTTCGTTAACGCCTGGCTGTTTAGACACTAACGCCGAGGCTGTTGGGACTTCCATCGGCCGGAGTTCGTCGGTGTAGCCGGAGTGAGGTGGAGCGGCGGCTTGAGCCTACCTGCTGAGGTCTGAGCGCGCAGCGCCACAGGGCCAGGGTTCATCGGAGTTTGGGTCAGAAAACGCCCCAACACCTTACTCCAAGATACTGCAAGTAGTATTTAAGGGATTACGGAACTTACAGTTACAAGTCGGTACACGCGTCCACGAACTTGAGAAATGAGACCCAGCCTGCTTGCCATGGCCATAGTCTTGGTACTTTGAAGATCTTTGAAGGGGTTTTGAGCCACGGACGTGAAGCCACGGGCGTGATGTGGTGTCCAGAGAGGCGAGACGCGACGAGATCTCGACGGATCGTCTATATATATATATATATACATACAGGTATACATGAGTTGGGTCTGTCCATTCCGAACCTGCAACAGTCAGTACACCATTATATCTATTTTTGAAGAACGCCCTTACTAACCATCATCATCCACTGTTACTGGCAAGAGGATAGACCCAATAGATGATGACATTGATTGTCAATTCAGCGATACCTTGAACCTGCAGTACAAGAAACACATACATCGCCGAGATCAAGTGTCGCCCGGCTGCAGCCCTGTACAGAGGGGCATCGTGCAGAAAAAGATGAGAGCAGATGTCGTCCGTGATTGCGGCAGATGGTCTTGGTTTGCTTGTTTTGGGCCGGCGCTTTGTGCACACTCCTGTTGGCCTGCAGATTTATTTGGCTTCCGGTTGTAGGTGGAAAGGTGGAACATGGGCATGGTGGAGGACCTCTTCTTTAGCCGAACTAGGCCGAAGAGGAGCCCACAGACTGCAAGGTGGCTCAATGATCTAACGAACCAGTTCTTGAGGTGCCAAGAGAGTCAGAAGTCCAAGAGTTTCTCATGCTCCAGGGGCATTTGAAACTAGTATGGTCGAAATCCACTACTACACCCTGAAAACCACTGGGTTATTGAAGAAAGCAATTGCTCTCCCAGGGGCCTTGGTCCTGAGCACCGTAAATACAGATCCGTTTTTTTCAAGAGGCCCAAGGCGCTGCAGAAGTTTCTCCAACTGCGCGGAGTTTTTAGCTGCGTCCGAAGCGTCGCACATGGTCGACTGAGGATCATCCACCTGAGTGATGCCGATGGAAATGATGAGCTGGGGAGCCCCACGACCGGGCGATTCCGAAGGGCCCAAGCCCGATGAGCACGTGAGATGGACATGAGACGTTTAGGAAAGAAAACATGAATTTTGGATGTTGCTGGTGCAGGCTTCTGCTGGCGACTTCATTGATAGTGTGGTGGAAGAGTGTGTTGCGGACATACGCATCACCAATGTTTTTTGCTTGGTCAGACGTGGCGTGGCCGAGGCTGCCTACAAGCCCGTTGGTTTGTAAATTGTAATGTTTGAACCTTCAGGCTTTAAGGTATTGCTGCCGATTGTGCAGTATGCATCAGTATTCTATTTTGGGATGTGAATTGTTTTGTTCTTACATGCCGTGAATATTGACAAACACATTGTTCAGGAATGTTCAGGACCTTGACCTGTTCCCTATGTCAACCAGACAAGCCTAGCTACTGATCAACCAGGATTTCGATCATGGTCACTTTCACTATTCCTTGGTGCCTTGCACACCCCCGTTGAACCCCAAAGGTTGTTTAAGCATTTACTCATCAAATCAAACTAAAAAACAGACCTGAACTCAGCCAAGCGGCTGGCCAATCTCGTCACTTGAGGCTGGACTTCCAAGAATTCTTGCACGTGATGTCCACTCATGAGCTTACTCACACCAAGGCGGCACGTGCGGCATTCAATGCCGGGGATGTCCTAGGCTGTACGTGTCCAGGTGAGTGTCCTTTCAGCCAACAGCGTAGGCAGTGTACACCCTGGATGCTCCCGCATGCGAAAGCACAGTTCATTGGCACAAATGGCCAGGAAGGGCCTGTTGATCTAAAACACAATTTCCAAGATACCTGTTCTAAGGTGAGTCACTTAATTTGTTGATTCAGGGGAGCAATGATCACTGATACTGATAGTCTTGATGGACACAAGTTTTGCCATCCCCAATCTACGTGTAGGGATTCCCAATCCACTCGTACCTACGAACATGGCAAGGTTTAGTCCATCAAGGTTGCTATCCTACTCCACTCCTCGGGAAAACCCAAAGAGCAACCAGTGCCTGCAGCCACCGTTGCACTTGTCCCCTGAAAAAACATAACAGGGGATGTAGGGCACCAAATTTTGGTGCGGATCAAATATCATCAAATATCTATTGCCAAGCCCTTCCACCACTGAGCACCTGCAGCAATCTTCTCCAGCTCTACTTGTAGGCTCTACTTGTATGTCAGGTTCCCTCTTCATCTCGATGTATCCCTCTTGGATCCTCTTGGCAATTTGCTGTACATCGGCTCGTGTAGCATCACATCAACACGACTTGTCCTGGAGTCGGTCTCCCAAATCGCCCGCGTACGATGCCGAGCGTTCAGAATCGGCCAGGCCCTGCGTTCAGCGTTCCAGAAGAATGCTGGGCTTGGAGGAACCACCTGCCCCTCGGAGAGCAGCTGAGCAGCTCTGCCGAGGGAATGAGCAGAAGAACTTCCAAAGAAGGGTGGAAGTGTTTGACATGCAGAAAAGCTGTTTTGAATAGTTTCTTCACGTTCCAGGTAGACTGGTTTGATGAAAGACTAGGCTCTTTGAAATCGCTGGTTGCAGTAGTTGTTGTAAGTCCAGTGGTGTTTAGACGCTTTGTGCATCTTTGTATCATATTACATCTTCACTGAGATTGCCAACCACATGTGAGATGGAACCAGGCCGTTTGGTTTCACATGCCGTTCGGTTGATCAGCACCGCTTCTCAGGTTCGCGTGAAGAGGTGTCCAACCTCTTGCAGAAGCCAGGCTCTTAGCCAGAGATACCACCTGAGACTTAAACAACAACCTGCAAATAGAACGAACCGATCCATCTCAGCTGTATCTGCCAGAGGTGTGTCTTGAAGAAAACCATCATATTTATAATCACATAATTCATAATCCGTTTTGTCACCAACATCGGCCACCACACCGTGGCATTGAGGTTGGGCTACTTCCCAGGCGAGGAGGAGCTGGACGGGATTTTCACCTCAGATGCGAACGGTGTGGAGGCCGGTCATTGTCGCTTCAGACAGGCGGAGCGTTTCCGCAGAGCAACAGCTCGGTGGAACTCGGTGTGGTGGCTGGCTCTGGGGGTGGAAGGTGGGATGGTGATAGAGTGGACTTTGGATACTTTGGTGTGTTCGTTTTTGTTGGGGGTTCAAGTGCGCGTTGAACAGGAAACATGTCTTCCAGCGGATCCATTTTCATGGTTGCTGGAGACTATGAGGATCAAGGTTGCTAGGCGGCGCTTAGAAGAATCAGCAACAGGGCAGGCACGGTTTCGGTGCAGAAGGCGCTGGTTCCATTGCCCCTACGAAATCCTTTTGGTGAATTTGACGGGCATTTGTTTGTAAATAACATTAAATAACAAACAAGTCCATGTTCTACGCCTAAGCATGCTGGATTTATTTGGATGTCATATCCAGTCGACAGGATTGGAATCATAAAGAAGTCCAACTGTTGTTAACTAATACTGCAACTAGATCCAGTTTTTTTGATCAACATTCTACATTAGGCGTGGACTTCATTTGTGACAGGACTTTGACTTCAACTTGACCCGTGTGGTCACGACCAGCTGCCGGCGGCATTTGGCCAAGGCACTTTCGAAAGCGGCACTTTCTCTTTGATGGGGGCCGCTAGGGGAGGGGAGTTGTTGGAATCACAAGCTAAACATACACATGGCAGTGCTACTCAAAGATTAGATCAACCTGGTGGTTTTGAGGGTCCATGTTGAATAGATATGTTGTGGGAGCGTACGGCCAGTGTAGTGAAACAAGGGACATGCCTTTTCGGATCTCTTTTGGTGATCCAAAAGAGGTTCCCAAAGCAATCACTCTGAGTTCCTTCACGTATCAGCAATCACTCATCGTGCGGCCCCAGAGTCGTCTTTCAGACACCAACGTGTCCTGTGGTTGGTGAACGTTCATACTTGCCGCAGTTTATCTCCAGAGCAGGGGCGTCACGTGGGCGATAGCAACAAGAGGTTTAGACTCTAGACACACCTTGCCGCGCAAAGCCTTGCCAAGGTCTGCCAGGGAATGCCAATTGCTGAATTCACAGCTCGAATCCAGTGTTTCTCGGAACGGTGCTTCAGAGTTCGAACAAAACCAATTGCTTTCAAGAACCCGCTCACCCCATCCAACCCTTTGCGGCCGCCAATGCAACCAGAAGCTACAGAAGACCAAGAGGGCCGAAAAGCAGGTAGTCAGATCACTTTGCACGTCGCGGATCAGCGCGATGGGCTATGGCAAAGACAGCAGCTTTTGCAGCACCTACGGCAGCTATGGCAAGGCAACGGTGGCAGATAGTTGGGGCATGGCGGGTTTTGGGGAGGTTGGCCTGCGTTTCGGCCGATATTTTAGTTGCACTTGTAACTTGCGATTGTTGGCCTTTAGGCGCCTTTTGGCAATATTTTCATCAATAAGGACATGGACAATGATGGTGTTGAGAGGAGTCGAGGCAGCCTTCAGAGCTTGTAGGCAGTGAACAAATCAAGGCATTAAGCAACCAAGAGGATCAGATCATGTATGATCATGTTGACCCGCCAACACCGCTCTAGACTCTGTTTGGTGGAATTGATGGACGGTAATAGTGTGATTCGTGGCTTGGTGCGTTCTGTTTGATGTGGAAGACGACTCAAGTTCCTGAACCCACGACGCAGCATGGAGAACCTCGATGCAGTGCAACCCATCCCGGATCTGTGGCGATCCGTGGAAGCCCAGGCGTCGGCGTCCTGGGCGAAGCCGAAGACACCCTCGAAGATCACGCAAGCAAAGTCGACCTGTAAGAACTGCCACTCGGAAGATCCAGGCCATTCTTACAGGGCGTTCTTCGGTGGGAAGATCTGACTTCTTGGCTGATCGTACCACCGGAGAGGAGAAAAAAAAAGCAAGGGGGGGTTGTTCCCGTCGGGGGTTGTTCCCGTCGATCCCAGTGACCGGTTTGTACAACAAATAGTTGCTTTGCACATCTTTGCACTCTTTCGAGCCAGTGCAAGTCTTCAGAATATTCTGAAAAAGGTGATTTGAACTTTGAGCGCTATTGGTGTACATCACCGTACTGAAGCACTTCCTGACTGTAACAGTAGAGCTAACTATATAGATGTCCTGTCTCTATAACCATCCGTTTCGTGAACAGGATCACCCATACCTCACAATGGAATTCATTGCGGCTCCATGGCCTAGGCGGTGGCCGGGGGCATGAGGCCAAGGATTGCCCCTCGGCGCCCTTGTGCAAGACCTGCGGGCTGCCGAACCACACCACGGAGGAATGCTGGAACGCCTCAAAGAAGTGCCTGAGAGATGAGGTCACTGAAGTGACCACCACCGACGGATGGGTGAGGGGGGCGAGGTAGTTTGATGGGTGAGGTATGTGCATTGATTCGGAGTCATGAAAACATATGCCAACCAGACATACCGGACTGGACAGGGATGCTGCTAGTTTGCACTTCACCTCAAGAAGTGGATGCTTTTTCCCATGGGTGTGGTGACTTTCTCATTTTATGTCGTGCAATCCCAGCAATAAGAACAGGAACAATCCAGGGAAGAAAGGCTAGCCAAAGGAAAGGGATGCTTCCAAACCTGGCTCCTTACCAGTAGCTGGGGTTAGCTCGTGGGCATCACTCAAGCATCACAATCAGTATTCCATAGTATATATGCCTATTCTGATCTATTCTGTGATGGTTTGAGGGAGGGGCTAAGGCAAGTTGATGAGTTCCCTGTCGCCCGGAACTGGTCACGACTTTGAGGTGCAACATTTGTGGGAAGACCGGTCATTTGATGAACGTATGCCGGAAGAAGGCCCAGAAAGAGAAGAATGGTTGGGCCGAGAAGGGTCAGAAGTGGGGTTCCAAGCAAGGCTGGACGGAATCAGAGAAGAACAGTCAGAAGTGGGGTTCCAAGCAAGGCTGGACGGAATCCAGCAGAAAGGTGTCGAACGTCTCCACAGAGCAGACTCGCAAGGTGGAGTGGGCAGGTAAGCGGAAGGAGACTTGGTCTGACAAGCCCAAGAAACAAGAGTGGTCAGACAAGCGCAGAAAGAAGGAGCAGCCCAACCCAGAGTGCTACTGCTGTGGGAGCTGGTGGCATGAGAAGAACGATTGCCCCTACAAGGACAATAAGTGTGACTTCTGTGGCAAGACCGGGCATTTATTTGTCATGTGCCTCGACCGGAAGGACTGACCGTTTTTGCGACCGGAGCTGGAGACTCAGAGAACTTGAGAACGTGTTCTCTCCAAGTTCTCACATGGCCTTCCCACAGAATCCTACGTTTTTGGGAGCACACTGAGGAAGCGGAAGCCAAATCACGGTTTATGCTTTATGTTGGGGCACCGGGGTGTTGATGGGCATGTTTCTATTGTCAAAGGGATGTGTGAATTGGGGGCAGGGCAGGGCCGCTTGGGTCGAACATGTGGGATGGAAGCATGCTCTTTTTCATGTTTGTCTCAAACCGATAGGTGAAGCGATTGGTTTGGCTGGCGTTTGAACGGAATAATTCAGGATCATGCCGACATAGTCATGAGCACTCACATGTCATGAGCACTCAACCTTGCATGGCGATGTGGTTCCAAGAAGCCCTCCTGGGCTTTGCTGTCCACACATCCCGTCATGCCTGCTCAGACTTGTGCGGGGTGGTTCTCCACAGACGCCATAAGACGCCCTGCATCACTGGCATCAGTCTGGATTTGGAGGGTCCCATTGACTGGCCCCATCGCAGGACTGCTCCCGCTGCGGTTCCGCGGACCACAGCTGCTTGCGCTGCCCCATGCGCATACACCGCTGCGAGCTTTGCGGCTTGAAGGGCCACACAGAGACTTGAATGAACCGGTGAAGGTGGCCATGGTAGGTCGATCTGCGTGCAGTGCGGTCGATATGTGGTGAACCGGAGACCGGGGGGTTCCCAAGAGCTTTGTCGCGAGCACAGGGTTGAGTTTCGTTGCAGAAAGCGGTCGCTGTTTCGTTGATGTGAAGAGTTGACTCCCCAAGAGTTGTTCCAATGATTTTTACATATCTTTACCGACCATAAGGCCATAAGATAATAAGGAGTTTACTATTTGGACTCTTCTGTGAACAGGACAATGCAGGCTAAATTACAACTCCCTTCGTCGTCGTCGCCCGTTGAAAGCCACAGGAGAACGTGTGCCACTCTGACCGTCCTTCGACCTGGAAGCTGGAGAAGGAAAAGAACAAGTTCCTCGGCGTTTTGCCAGTCCAGAGATTGTATATGATTGTATGATGTTCCCTTAAGAAAAGACTCGGATAGATACTGAGATGGGGTGGATAGGGTGGATCAGAGTGTTTGTGGTTTTCATCCACGTTTGTCAAAATCCGTTTGTCAGGTTTTGTCGGCGCTGTGGGAGCTGGTGGCATGCGCAGTCAGTGTGCCCACACAGGCAAAGCCGCTGTGGGAAGTGTGGTGCGCTTGGGCACCTTGAGGAGTGGTGCAGGACCAGAGGCCGAAGACTGCGCACAAAGAAGAAGGGCGAGAAAGATGAGGAGGCGCGGTTGTTCTACCAGACATGTGCGGTATACTATATATATAAGTATATCATTTTATATGTGCAATCTTCGCAGCATCCACTGTTTGCACTTCAAAGTGTTCTGGATCCACACGTCCTCAAGCTTACCATTCATCATCGAAAGACTAGGAGGAAGACCGGGAAGAGATCATGGAAGAGGAGATGGATCAGATGGATGCGCAAGAATTGGAGGAGATTTTGGAGGGTTGTGCCTGTTGTGGCAACCCCGAGCACGAAGCCAAGGACAGGAGCACGAAGTAGCAGGGCGGGTGGAAGCAGCACCATACTTACGCACTAAAGTAACGATCCCACACTTATATACATGGGGAAGGGGGACAAGGAATCCACTTGAACAATTTTCCCCATTAATTTTTCATGATGTAGGGGACGGCTGATCTTGGGTTAAGACGTTGCTTGAGGATCACAGCATTGTCACACCAAATGCAGCGATGTCCCACCAAATAGATCTCCGCCTGGCGCATCTCTTGGCGCAGTTTTTCTGAAAAACATATCAGAGGAGAGAACTCCCGACAAATCAATGCAAGAAAATTGTGAATATTGGTCCGGGAAAAATGCCGGTGCGCTGCGACAGGAATTTTGTTGGAATGTTTGCGACTACAGTCGATTGGAGGTTTTGGTAATGTTTTTGTTGCGGCACGCTTGTGTCAAAGGATCACGTTCTTGGTCCAAATTGATAAGTTTTAATCCTTGCCTTACACTTGCTCCAAAATGTCGGGAACAACCGTCCCATCATCCAACCGACCCACCATCCCACTCACCCACCAGCAAACCCCACCCAAGGAACACAGTTTGGCCTCGATTCCTCGATTCGCTTTGCCTGGGATCCATCCAGGATTGCCCGCTACAAGATCTCACCTGTGAACTTTGCGGTTTGCGAGGGCATCTGGAGAACATGTGTCGAAGCAGCCAGATACCCAGCAACTTGGCACTTGGCGGTCCACTGCTTCGCGCCGCTTCGGGTACGTGGTTGAGGTGCGTGACGACCGGTTGGTTGAGCCATGGTGATGCCAAAAAACATGAAAAAGGCAGGCCAAAAAGACCGGTTGACCACAGGTGATGGATGGCGACCTGCGGAACATGGAGGTACGAAGTGGAAGATCTGGTCAAACACAGGTGAAAGACGTGTGGCACTACCGCCTTGAATGAGCATCGATTTCGCACGGTGGCCTCTCGCTAAACTAGATCTAATTAGCTCCCTCTCTCTGCCGGAATTCCAATAAGCTACTAGGAACAAGTGCATCGCTTCTAGTAACAAGTGCCTTATTAGTAGAAACAAGAAGCTATTAGAATCAAAGAATTCCTCCACTTCTCCAAGGCACCGAGAAGCCGGGGATCAAGGATGGTGACCGGGACGCCCAGAGTGAGTTGTCAGACCCTGGGCCGTTGAGCGAGGAGGGTGACGTGAAGAGCGAGGTCAGCGTTGAGCCTTGGAGTCGAAAGCCTTGGGTCAAAGGTGGCATGCTTTTTCAAAGTATTGGCATCATGGTCTAACCATGTTTAACCCTAATTATTCCCTCATGCTTGGATGAAGATCATTGAAGTGGAATTGGGCATTTTGAGTGGGGTTGTCGATCAAGAATGGCAGTTGGATTTCTATTCGTGACCTGGACTGATGGATTTTGCTGTACTGCAGTTGTGCATTTGCCGGCGATTACTCAAGACTTGTCAGCACTTGTGGGTCGTGGTGAAGCCAAGGGTTGGTTCATCATCGCCCTTTATTGCCCAACCGTTTTGTTGATGCATCAGTGTTGTTTCACTTGGTTCATTCATTCACCGGTGAAACTCGGTTGGTTCATATAGATATCTATAGTGTTTCTTCTCGTTGATCTCCTTTTTATTCCGACGAGTCGTTGGATGTTGGGGGGCGCCTTCTTCGGTCGAAGCGGCTGATTCCGAACACCGACAGTCGCAGCGGTTCCTATGGGCAGACGAAACCATACAGCAGAACGAAACCAGACCAGCCGAGAAGCCGGCTGATCCGATCATCCAACAGGCACGCAATGAACTCAACGCTTGGATTCGCTTGTATCAGATATCTCCAGATCTGTTTGGCACTCTTCCGTTGGAAAGGGGCTGGGCCAAAACACATCACCCAAGCAAAAATGCCAGGCACACATCCCATATGAGAAGTTGCTTGACATGTTGCCCGGGTGTTCTCCCGCGAAAACAGCTTGTACATTCTTAGGCCTGGGCAGAGGTCAAGGACTACACTGAGCACTGGTCACTATCAACACTACCGGGTGCATGAGAGAATATATTTAGAGAGTAAACAGTCAACAGTCAGATAGTATAGTAGAGTTCCTTAAGTCCCGGTTGGCGGGTGCACTTTATTTTTGGGATGGCCAAAGTTCGGAGTTTTGTGCAGTCGTGGGTAACCATCATTCATGGCGGCAACAATGACTTGAGTGAGAATAATAGGAGCTTCCCGCTCCCCAGCTGACCTGGCTTCTTTCCAGTAAAGCACCAAGTCATGCCCAACCACTCGAATTGAGGAGGGCCCTGCAGATGAGTTGGAGCAAGAGGGCAGCGAACTAGGGGTCGCTGATGGTGAGGAGCGCATGGAGGGCGAAGGGGGTCGGGGCGATGGTCCTGAATAAGCAGCGAACATAGACCGCAGGAAGCTACCCACACACTAAGTGAAGCTATTGAATGCTAAAAACGGACTCAAGATCCACAAGGGACTCAAAGGAGGCCACCGGATGTGACATGCATTTCGCGGTGGGCATTTGAAGGCCATTGGGAGTGTTTAAAGGGTGTTCAGCCTCCTTGCGTTGCAAGGAGGACCCAGATTGGGGCCCAGCGGACGGCTCGGAACAAGAGGGCAGCGAACCGGGCGTTGCTGGTGGTGAGGAGTGCCGGAGGTCGAGGGCAGTCGGGGTACAGAAAAAAGAGACCACGCACTCATTTCACCCTCAAGGTCCTGAAATGACAATGACTGTAAAACAACTTGCTTCCACCCTCATTAAGATGTTCGACTGATAGGGCATTTGACATGGTGATCCATTTGGTTATTGTTTAGCAGGCTCACTGACCCCCCTAGACAGACCATCTCCTTGTGATAGAGCAGCCAGGTTGATTGAATTATTGTTTGCGCGGTTCTTTGCGTCAGACATTTGCAACTGGGTGATTGGCGCAGTGACTGGCTATAGTGGCTATGTGGCTATGCTTTCGTCTTAAGCTTGGGAGCCCTTTGCTGGGCCCATGTGTTCCTTAATGTTTCTTAAGTCCCGGTTGGCGGGTGCACTTTATTTTTGGGATGGCCAAAGTTCGGAGTTTTGTGCAGTCGTGGGTAACCATCATTCATGGCGGCAACAATGACTTGAGCGAGAATAATAGGAGCTTCCCGCTCCCCAGCTGACCTGGCTTCTTTCC